GTACTTGGCCCCAAAAACCTCAGAGACTCACTTTCTAAAGATATAGCTACTCTAGATGGCATTACCTTGGCCTCTAGTGCCACTGTCAGGAATCTTGGAGTTATCTTTGATCAGGACTTGTCATTTAATTCCCACATAAAGCAAACCTCTAGGACTGCTTTTTTTCATTTACGTAATATTACAAAAATAAATTTGTAAAAATAAAGGGAACTATATGTAGGTTTGCATGTTTTTTAATTGACTTCCATTGTAATTTTGATTAAAAAATTGTTTAAGTTTTAATGGAATTTGAAAGTAAAATAATACCTAAAATGTCTGGAAGATGTGGAACATTTCAGAATTGAGTTTGAACAAATAGTTAAGAGTTAAAGATTCATGGGAATTTTGAACGAATCCTCCATAAGAATGAATGGGGCAAAATTCCGGAAAACCGGCAATACTTCGGAACGTATGAAAGGTTTTTCTGTCAGTCCCGAAAAACAGATAATGCTCAACTTTTGAACTTTGAAATGTATTTATTTTCAAAAGGGACAATGCACTAATTAAGTTCACTATGTAAATGTGCCAGATGTAGCCATACAGGTAAATTTTCATCTGCAGCCCTGGCAAGTTGAAGGCTTATCAGAATTAGTATATTATTAATTAGTTACACTTCTAGATATTAGGAAAAGTTATATTATTACCTGTAATGTCTTACTGGCCAACACTGCCAGGCATAAAGACGGATGATTTACTAAATATATGGAAGCAAAGGAGCCAGGACCCCAGCTAGATAGAGAGTACTGTTACAAGAAACAACAGGCAGAAGACAAAGCAACACAATCCTGTTTGAACTGAACTCAGACCAGGGACCTGGAATAATCAGAGGAAGAGGAGACAACAGCTCACAGATAAAACAGTAAAAACATGATCACACTAGGGACCTCTGCTGGACTTCCAAGGAAACACACGCCAGAGAGCAGGTGTGGCTGGGCCACAGTTGGATCAGTCAAAAGGGGGGTGAAAAAGCTATTGCGTTGATGGTGTTGGCTCACTGAACATCTGATGTGGTGTGCACATTTAAACACAGGATCCAGAAATCTGTTTCAACAGTTAATTTTAGTCGGTGGGTAGGTTATGGTTTTCACAGGTGTTTGGTGTTTGGTGGATGTGGACATGGATGGTGGATGGTGGATGATTTTCTTTATACAAAAAGAATATTAAAGAAATCTTACAAATCTGAATAATTACAAACAAACTACTAATAAGAAATAAATTAGATAATTTAACTTACATCATTAATGCATCCACAATCTGGTCTTGTTTCCTTTTTTCTTCTTAACAAAAAGGAAAACTTTCTAGAATGCAGCATGGACTTTAAAACAGTATAACACATTAAATCATATTTTAAAGGTGAACCAGTCCATGTTAAACTCACAGCAGGTTCTCTTTGTTCTTCTCTGTGTGGTTTGGAGGGGAAAAAGGGGAAATAAGAGCTGAAGGGTGGAGCTTTCTAATCTTTGGGGAGTGGTTAAAAGAGGAGTGGCAGTGATGCAGGTGGGGAGGAGACTTATTATGATTTAACAGGGGCCCTTGGCAATGAGCTAATGCTATTTGCGGGGCCTTGGCAGTGTTTCTCAGATGGGGGTACGCATACTGCAAGGGGTACGTGAGTATCAGTCATGCATAATTCCTAAAATAATTATATTATAATAAGTTAAATAAAAATGTAAAGTTTATGTAAGTGAATAAACCACATTTTATATTCAATATTCCTATTTTCAATGCAACTGCTAACTGCCGTAAAACCTCACCGAAGAAAAAGAAAGCAACAAACGC